TATATATATACCTCATTGGTGACCATCATTGGTGCTTTCTATTTGTTGCAAGAGTTCTGGTTTATTCTTGGACAACCTGGTTTTACATATCCAGAGACATATTTTTTAATTGAACACGTGCCAAACAAAGGACCACTCTTGACTTAATCTGCAGCCCACAAATCAGAATTGATAAATCTCCCTGATTGGAATAATGTTCTAAATGATAATCCATTTCTTAGACAACATACACCAACCGTTCATCCTGTAATGTGTTACAAAAGMACCCGACTTTATTAAATAGTAGGAACATTTTCATTTAAAAGGCATAAAATGCCAGAAYCCAGGTGCCTAAAAGACAAAAGACAGAAAGAACAAACTTCCATCCAACTTTCCTTTTATTTATTTATTTATTCAGGTTTCCTATAAAATCTGCGAAAATCGCTGCATACTTTAACAGCTACAGTATGTGTTCTCACTTCAAATAAGAGCGTGTATATATTAAAATATCTGTCATAGTTGAATTTGATGAATTTAAGGAGAATTATTCACATCGCCTGAAGGCTGTGAGAGTCTGAGTTCCAACAAGAGCCACAAATGGTTATAACCCAACATTAGTCTGTTTGATGTCACACAGCACGAGCCGTTTACATGTGGAAAAAAAGAACAAAATAATAATGATAAAAAACGAAGTCACAACAACTATTTCTACCTCTAGAACAAAATACTTGTGGATAAACTGGATTCAGCCGATCATATTTATTGGTTTTAGTTGAAGTTGTCAAAGAAAGTTCTTTAACTACRAGGGAAATAATGATTGGTTACTGACAAAAACACATCAGGTTAGCAAATTAACCACAAAATAAAATTAAAAAATCCATGACAACAATATGATGCAAACTGCTGAAATTTGCAATGTGTAAAATTCATTAAATTAAAAACAYTTTGCAAGAAAAATGCCACAACAGTGCTGTTCCTAAAGGAAAATGAAAAATCATTGTTRAACTTGACCACAAGAGGTCATTCAAAATACTTCAGTAAATGAAATATATGTTTACACTGGGGTCAACCATGGCTTTGATTATCAGCAAAAAATATGTTAAATTCAATACTGTATCCTATGGTAAAAATCTATTGTTTTAATAGTGGAGATTGTTGAAGCATGCAATGAAATAAAGTTAGGCACCCAGAGGGAGTGGCAAAGATAAAATAAAAAGATGCTACAATATAAATAATAATAATAATAATAATAATAATAATAATAATAATAATTCTCAGCTGAATTATAGCAATAATAAAACAAATTTATGAAGATATATTTCTTTAACCTTTGGAGGAATCTCTGTATTTGACTGTGCGTCTGTTTTGTTTACCTCCTCCAGCGAGGTGTCAGAGATACCGTAGCTGGTCAGGCCAAGGTCGACCAYAGCCAGGTCGAGCTTTTGGAAGAGCGCAGCAAACGTTCCGTCTCTGGCTCCGCTGTAGGGCAGTATGAAAGTGATTTCCTGACCGATGCTCTCCAAAAAGACAGCCTCGGGGACGTGGCRCCGCACGAGCTGAGTCACAGCTGTCAAATCTGTTTCACAGAAAGCCACGAAATTAATCAAAAACACAGACGCCGCTGGATGGAAAGCTTGTATTTCTCCTCCTAAAAGTTCAATTAACTTGACTTACCATTTGTGGCAATCCTACAAAAGAGCATCGTATTCATCAAAGAAAAAAGAAAATAAACTTCTTATCTTGCAAATACGAAACAAGATGTCATAAGTAGTTGCAGAGCATTGCATTCATCAAGGAAAAAAAGAAAAAAAGACTCCCTAATGTGTATGTTTAATATCCAGATCTTGTTATTACAACATAAGATGTCATAATTAAGAGATCCTTATTGCATAATTACTAGATCAGGATCTCATAATTACAAGAAAATATGTCAAAATTACGAGATAAGATGCCATTATTACGAGCAAAGATGTCAGAACATTGAAAAAAAATGACATAATTACGAGACAAGATGTCAATTACCAGATGCTTATTGCATAATTACGAGATCAGGTCCTCTTAATTAGTTGAAATTTTGAGAAAAGTTGTCAAAATACCAAAAAAAAAAATCATAATTACGAGATGAGGATACCAGAATTATGACATCTTATCTCTGAATTATGCAATCATATTTGTATATATGACATCTTATTCCATAATTACAGCATCTGGTCCTAAATTATGAGATAAGGAGTCTATATTTTTTTAATGCAGTGCTCTCCCATACAATCCTGCCCAGGTGCATAAACCACCGCAAAATCCAATATTTAAGAAGCATTTGCCTTTAAGCTCAGAGTAGATATGAGACATGCACACCAATCAAATTCTTTAAAGTCCAACCTGTGAGCGCATAGGGATCAGCAGGCACATGATGATGTGACATTTAAAGACAGTGCATACTGTAGCTCCGCTGTGTGTCATCCATTCTGAAGCTGGGGCTCAGTGAGAATCAATCCACACAGTGTTGCAGAACACATCCATTATTGATCCAGAATCTCTCATACATAATTACTGAAGCCTAACAACTACTGGCTCCGTACTTTATGAAGAAGTAAATGGATCTACTTTACACTTCACAGTGAATAATTTCGGGAAATGAAGCATCAAAGTGTGTGTGAGTGTGTGTTGTGGTCAGCTCACTTTAAACTAACGCAGAAAAATGTGCAGCGTCATAAAGAAATATGATGACTTTTATGGTATTATCTATCTTCATTTGACTATATTTTAGCTGTTGGTACAAAACTTTGCATTTTAAAAATATTTTTTCATGTTTTCTGCACAAATTAACACTTCATATCTTCCTGTAGTTCATGAATCACTTTCCAAAGAAAAGTGTTGGTTTTTATATGCTAAATTCCAGAAAAAGCTCAATGCTTTGGGAGTTCAGTAAATAAAAAGCTTGTCCTTGCTTTAACTACTAAAAAAAGAATAAAAGATAAATGTATAAAAAAACGCAGTTTTGCGATTGTAGTTTTCTAATTTCGTTTTAAAATAAAAACACTAAAATAACATTTTCTTTCTCGTCTTATTGTGAAACCAAAGAATGAACGATACACAAATAGTTTTGTTATTTAAAAGAGGTTGTAGTTTTTTTTATTGTAACCTGCAATATATTTACTTTTTATAGCTGAGTTGTGCCAAAATTTATATGAAAACAAAATATCTGTATGTTATTGGAGATGTGGAAGCGAGGGTTGGGGCAGGGCACCGACATTTTCTTATAAACCAAAGAGAACCTGGCTGAAAAGGTTTGGGATTAAAAAAAAAAAGAATAAATACATAAAAATTATATATATAGTTTTGGGACCACATATTTATTACAACATAACAGAACAGTGTTTGTC